GCAGCTCAGAGTGGCGAGCTGAGTGCTGGGCAAGCCAAAGGATGTCACCTCCCAGCCACACGAAGGGTGACATGCTTTGAGCCTATTGTGTTCACAGGGCCTGGCTCAGATGCGCTGGTGGCAGAGTGGGGGTGGGGTGAACCTAGGAAAGGGTCTCTGAATTCCCCTCTGAGACTCCACAGCTAAGGATCTCCCCCCACTTCGTTTAGACGGGCTGGCGGGGGCCTGGTCCTCTGCTGGGATCTGCCCGGGGTTGGAATCCAGGGTCTGCTGCTTCCCAGTTGGGGACCCGGCTAGAGATCGACCCTCTCGGGCCCAATGTCCCCAACCTAACTCTGCCACTGTTCTATACCAGGGGTCCTCAGACTAGTCCCTTCCTCTCTCGGGCCTCAGTTGCCTCATCTGGGAGATCTTCAGAGTTTGGGGGGGCTCTGGGAGGCCTCCCCTGATATCCTTAGGACTGATAATGGTCAGTACTGTCTCTGACACTAGCTCTAGGGCCAGGCCTACTAAGTCACACAGGTAGGTCATCATAACCCAGTGTAACAGGAGCTCCAAGGGAGGGATGCTCATAGGTGACAAACAGCTCACCTATCTGGGGCGGCAGGGAAGGCTTCCTGGAGGAGGTGACTGTTGGGACTCAGCCATCCGCACTTTCACTCAACAGATGCCTTCTAACAAGCCCCATGCGAGGCCTGGTGCTGGGTTCTGGGGATTAGAGGTGAATAGGTCACAGCCCCTGCACTTGAGGGGTCTGCCTTCCAGGAAGACACACGAGGAAATATAAATATAGAATGACACAGGTCAAAATGCAGGTGTCTCCGGGTCTGGGGAGGTGTGCATGGGTCTGGTGCGGTCACCTGTAAAATGCAGGGGCTGCCCTGGACACAGCCTTTAACATTCCTTCCAACTCTGCATGAGTTTACCTCAAGTCACTTCAAATTCTGCCAAGATGCAGGTGGTCCGGAAGACACTGCTCTCAACCTTTCCCGACAGTCCGAGGCGCCCCAGTCTCACTGCGGCAAGCTCCCCCCCCCCCGAAGTCAGCCGACCACTCAGAGCCCCAGGACACTCCCCAGACACCAGCGGCTGTGTGCAGCCAGGCCCAGTCACGACCACACACATACCTGTGCGTGGACCTGGCCTGGAATGTGCGCTCAGAAACCTTCAGGAAGGGGGGGTGATGGCCCGCCTCGGGGGCTGGGCTTGCTAAAGGGGTTTCCGCAACCAGCAGCGGTGTCTAGGTGACACAGTTGAGGGTTTAAGAGGCTCAGTCAGCCCCACCCAGGGCTGCCCGCAAGCTAGGTCCGTTTCCCATGAAGAACCAGGCAGACCGTGGGAGCCATGCACTCTGGGCGTCCCTGCTGTCTGTCCCTGTGCTCACCAGAGTAAAGAGCAAGGTCGAGCAGATCTTAGGACAAGGTACTCATTTCCCCTCATGCTCTGACCTCAGCCTCTGCACAGGCAGCACCGTCATCTGTGAACGGTACCCACGCCTGTACATCTCTGTGGGGCTGTGAACAATCTATGGTTTGTTTGAATCATCAGTGAACCACAATGCCACACTTCCCGGCCATTGTATCCTGGGAATGGTTGGAAAAAGACAAAGCCACACCTATGTTCATATGACCACGGTACCATCATCCTCATCAACAGTCATCACCATCATCAATGTCCTCATTCTCCTCCTCATCTGCCTTCTCCTCTTCATCTTCAGCCTCCTCCTCCTCGCTGTCATTAGCAATGCCATTACTGTGAACATCGCCATCCATTCCATTACCACCACCACCACCTCCGGAATAGCAGCTAATGCTTACACAGTGCGTCCCAAGTGCCACGCTATGCACAAATACTTCATGTGCATTCATTCAGTTAAGCCTCACGCTCTCTCCGGAAGTAGGTACTTTTACCAGCTCTGTTCTACAGACAGCAGGGTAGACACGGTTCATTCCCTCCTCCCAGGACAGAGCGCCGTGGGAGCCGTCGCCCCCCACAGAAAAGCATTGTGGAGGGGTGGAACTGCCCATTGCGCTTGAGTCCCACCTCAGGAAGACCCTGCCTTCTCAGCACCCCATCTCTCCATCTGTAAACTGGGAAGCGAACATGAGAATGGTCTCCCAGCTCCCGCAGGGCCACCCTCCAGCTTTCAAAGCCCCTGGAAGGCTCTGCGTGGTCCTCCGGGAAGCCAGCAGGTGAGCGCTCCAGTGGGCTCCCTCGACTCCAGTCGGCCTGAGGACTGTGGGCGGGTCCCGGGGATAAGAACAGTGTGAGTGGGACACCGCCCACTCCGGTCCCCAGACCCCATGCCAGCACTCACTCACAGAGGGCTTTGGACACGAGCGGCCACAGAACGCCCTTAGCGCCTGCATGACCCCCACCTGGTCAGGGAGAGCTTCCACCGAGATCATTTCAGCTCCTACAGCCCAAACCAGACCATGAGCGCCTTGAGTGAGGGACAGGGGTGCACCATCCCTGTCTCCATTCACGTCATTGGGAGAGGTAGTGAGGACAGGTAAGGGTGACAATGACGGTGACAGCAATGGTCCCATCACCTGTGCGTGGAGCACCTTTCCTGAGCCAGGGGTGCCGCTGTGCACGCCATTCAGTCTCCAGCACCACCTGCAGTGGGGACCCGGCACCCCCAAAGGAGCAACTGAGGCTGGGGAGGGCAGTGACTACCTAAACTATCCCATCAGAGGTGGTGGCAGCCCTGTTCCTGCTGCTCTCATCAGACAGGGTCAAAAGGACACGGTGACAAGAAGGAGCCGTTGGGGACCCGGCACCCACACGTCCCATGGACCCTCACAGCTGTCTGGGCACCTTACGGCAGCTCCTTACAGGAAGTTGTGTGAACTGCAGTCTGGACACAGAGAGCCAACGCAGAGGAAACATTTTCTGCACACCCATGTTGGTGCCAGGCCTGCCCCCGGAGCTGGGAACACAGGGACACTCTCGAAAGGCTCCGCCACTGAGGAGCTCACTCGGAGCCCTCGCATGACTTCAGTGAGGTGGCCCCAACATCAAGCTTACCCTCAAGGAATGAGCTTACAGTTCAGTGGGGGAGCAAGACCTGTAACAACCCAGAGTCAGAAGTGCTGTTGGAGGGTAGCCCAGGGGCTTCTGGGAACAGAGTTGATACTTGTGTGTGTGGACACAGGTATCAGGGAAGGCTTCCTGGAAGAGGCAAATCTAGAGCATGATTAGAAATTAGCCACAACATGAGGGACCTCCAGGCAAGGGGAAAACCTGAGCTGGGGCTCAGAGACCTGGAGTAGCCTGGCGTGTGTATGTGTGGCCAGGATAAGGGTTATTCAGTGTTAACAGAAGTTGGGGGCAGAGGCCAGAGCCAGGTTGGAGAGACAAGGGACCCCTGGCAATTCCTGAAGCACAACCACAGCCTCCTCCACTCTCATCTTCACACAGAGGATGTTGGCCCTGTCAAGCCTGTAAGCGTGACTCCCAGTGGGCTTGGGCAGAATGGACAGCTGAGCTGGACATTGGAGGACGTCAGGGCAATACGGGGGTAATGAAGCGTGGGCCTCCTGGGGGGGGGCAGGGTTGGCTGCAGGAGGACAAGCTGGGTCGGTGGCTTAAACCGGCAGAGATGGGGGTCACCCTTGGCCTTCCCCTCCCAAAGCACTGGGCCTGAATTGGGGAGCAGAGGGTCGGAAAACGGTCACACAGAGCCACACGGGTGCCACTTGGAACCACTGAGCGAGCCAACCTCCAGGCCTTGCCAGCAGCCAGGCCACCACGTGCCACCAGGCTTCTTGCTGCCCTATCTGCCCGGAGACTGGCTTCCCTCCAGAGGTCTGTGGGCAGGCGCCAGCTTCCCCATCAGGCTGCCAGGGCCTGGAGCACCGCCAGGATGTGGCCCAACCGGGCCTGATCCCAGCTGTAGTCACCTGCCCCGAGCTCGGCCTTAAGTCGATTCCCAATGAATGAGATGGATGAACAACAACATCAGCGTCTGGAGGACGCATAGCTGCTTCTCCTGCAAAACCCCAGCTCCCGTGAAGCTGTGTGTAGACATGGCAGGTGCCTATCTTGGTCGCGTGCGTCCCTTTCCTAACACAAATCTCACACTTGGAAAACGCAGGGGCAGGGTTCACTGTGGAGAAAACAAGATGCCAGAGGGCTGTGCAGTGCGAATTCAGAGGCCCGCGTTGGAATACGGGCCATGCCACTGAGAAACCGGGACCTTGCAGAAACGCTTCTCCTCTCTGAGCCTCAGTTTTCCTCATCTTGAAAGTGGGGACACACGAGGAAGTGTTGGATCATTGCTTCTCATCCAGGGGTGCACATCAGTCATGTGCTCTCTCCCACCCCCGGACGCTGGCCCCACGCCAGGCCTGCAAAGTCGGAGCTGCAGAGACCCTCCGAGACAAATACTCCCAGTGGTTCCATCCCATTTGGAGAGACCTGGCCCCAAAGACACCCAAGGCTGCTCTTTTCTCTCTGATGTTCAGCCTGCCAAGGCGCAGTTTCTAGTGCCAGAAGGTCAAACCAGCACCCAGATGCAGGGAAGGAGGGCTGGACAGACGATACCAATTCCCCTGGCTCTCGCTGAGCTCTCGTCCCCGAGCCAACCCTGTGGACACTGACTGTGGTCACCAACTAGCAGGTCCTTTGGGGGCTACAGGCCACGCAGGGTGATTTCGGCTTTGAGGTAAGGGGTCTTGGGGAAGTCACCCCAGGCCTTCACCCCACACACATCCCATTAGGGAGAGATGGACAAATGTGTCATTCAATGCATCGTCTCAATTTCTTTTAAAGAAAAAAACGTTTTAAACCCAGGGAGACCTACGCACCCCAGACTCAAATTCCACCCCCTGGGCAGCCCCCAGGTCCCCAGGAGGCCTGGGGGCCCCCTCTCAAGGCCGAGGCAGACTTCGGGGAGGTGCTCATCGGGTGGGGAACGGGAGACCAGCCCCTGCTGGCATTTCCAGGGGCCGAGCTGTGGGAGCCACGGACCCTGGACTCGAGTGCCGGGGGCTCACCTTCACACTGCCGGCCTTCCCCCTTGTAGCCTGGCTTGCACAGGCATTTGTAGGACTTGGGTGTGTTCTGGCAGATGGCATCGATGTGGCAGTCATCTGTGCCCTCAGAGCACTCATCCACGTCGGCTGCCCCTGTGGGGTGGGGGGAACACGGGTGAGGTGTGGCCCTGGAGGCAGGAAGAGGTGGCGGAGCAGGGAGCTCCTCTTGCCTCCAGCCCTTGATTGATCAGGGGGGTAATGAACGGTAACAGCTGTCACTTGACCACCTGGTGTGACAAGTCCAGACTGGCAGCGTCTTCGGGGCAGCTACTCTCGGCCAGGCCACCGAAACACTGGCTCTCAGTTTGTTCCACAACAGCCTGTTAAGTCAATCTGTTGTTCCCACTGGAAAGGTGAGAAAACTCGGGCTTGCGAGCCCAGAGAGGAAAAGCCCCTCTCTGCGCGCCTCGCTCTCTCCACAAGCATCGCCCCCTCCACCCTCCTCATTACAAGGCTTAGGGCCAGCAGGATCTTTGAAGGAATTCAGATCCACCCGCTGTGGGTTACAGATGGGGAAACTGCGGCCAGCAGGGAGCTGGGAGCGGAGGCCGAGCCAGGAGGTGGTCTGACCATGGGACGCCGCCCAGCCCCCAGGCTGTGGAAATGCCCGGTCCTCCTGCAGCTCCCACAGCCCGGCCTGGAGTGTCCAGAGGAGGACTGAGTCCTCCCCTGGGCTCGGAGGCTCATCCACGGTTCTGACCTCTCCTTCCTCTCCGCCTCCGGAATCTGGGTTTGAACTCTGTTCTCCCAGCCCAACTCCCCAAGTCAAGTTCAGTCTTGGCTTTGGTGCTCCTGGCTCTCCCCACCTCCCACCCTCAACACACACGGGTGCACCTTCAGCCTAAAACAGCTGTCAGGCAAAATACAAAATAGATGTGTGTACCTGTGCATATACACCAACACACACCCCCACGCGCACACACCCCTCAGAGAGGGAGGGACCCTCGGGGCACCGGGGCGCACGGCAGGAAGAGCCTCAGCTATGGTGGAGGTTACAGACGAGGGCAGAGAGGCCCAGGGGTCCGTTGTGAGTCACTGGCTCCTCCGGGCAGACAAGCTCAGGTCCAGAGCCTGTCTACGTGTCTCGTTGCTTCCTGCTACCTATGAAGGACGTGCAGGTAGGTGACACGCAGGCACACAGAGGGACCCAGAAGGGCAGTCCAAGAAACTCTCGGCAGCCATGGTCACTCAGGGACAAGCCTGCAGAAGTTCTGTGGTGTCCTGCTCTCTTCATGCTTCCAGCCGCCCCCTGGACTGTCTGGTCCTCAAGAATGTCCACTCTGACTTAGTCCCCAGGCCAGCATCAGGGTTCACAGGGGGGCCCCCCACCAGGTTCCTCCCTTGCCCTAGTCCTGAGGCTCCAGCCTCCCCGCAAAGGAAAAAGCACTAAGAGGAAACACAAAATCACCTCCTTGCACATGCATGCCTGTGCACACAGCAGGCGGCATCACTTTGGGGGGGTACATATCTCCTCAGCTCACAGCCCATCCTCCAGACCTGCCCAAAGGAAGGTGGGACAGGGGCCAGGAGGCCCGCGCCAGTCCTCAGTGTCCAGCAGCCAGTATCGCATCCTCTTCTGGGAAGTGATGACAGAGGGACCCCCGGGCAGGGGTGGCACAGCTTCAAAGGCAGGAAGCCAGAGGCCAGGGAGGGCCAATCTGCATCCTTCCAGGGGGGAGGCCTGGGGCCACTTCTGAGACAGGACCAGCAGGGGAAATGGGCCTCGGACCCTGCTCGTCCCACTTCCTAAGGGTCAGTGCACAGGAATGATGGAAGGGAGACCGCCTGGGGCCCCAGAGCCCCCTGGGCCTCTACCCCCAGCCCCCACCTAGTAGGTGTCCTCCTGAGGGTGGAAATGAGTGACTGCTCACTAAAGGGCAGTGGGGCCCCTCCCAAGACGCCTTTCAAACACCTCCTCAGGTGGGTGCTGGGAGAGGGCAGGTGAGTTCCAGGAGAGAGGGACAGGAGCCACAGGCCGTCTGTCCCCACTGGCCCTCCGGCCACGGTCCCTGCTCTGGGCTGGGGGATCCCCTGCAGGGCACCACAGGCTCTGACTTTGGTTTGCTTCACAGCACAGGCCTCCGTGGGTTAGAGACCGGGTGGAGACAGATGCAGACACAGAGACAGACAGAGGTGGGGAGAGGCACATTCAGAAACAATTGCATGGGGTTTGAGGACCCCAAAGCCCGGGATGGACACCCATGGGCAAGTGGCAGTGTGGGCAGCAGGGCCCAGCTTCCCCGGGGTGGGGGCGTGAACGACCAACCACTTGGATCCAAATGCAGCACAATCGAAATAGCCTGGCGTCCTCTCGCGGGGCGTGACTCCCCGGCACAGGCTCCCATGGCCAAGCACAGACTTCAGGGAGCCTGTGAGGCAGCCAGGGGCACCCAGAGAAAGACAAGGGGAGCACCAGGGGCAGGCAGGGCCCTCCCCTGACATCCCCACACCAGGGAAAGGGAGAGGGAGGAAGCTCGTTGGAGGGGAGGCCCTGGTTTCAGCTTTGTGGGAGTCCTCTGCCTGGCCCACCAGGGGAGCAGAAGGGGAAGGCACCGCAGTGCCAGGATCCCAGCTGAATCCCGGGGAGCCCCCGCTTGGCCCCTGCTGCCTGCCCTGACCCAGGCCGGATGCTGGTAACCTCCTTCCTCAGCGTCTCCACTTTGTTTCCTCTCCTGGACCGCCCCGCCCATCATGTCCCGTGTCTGCCGTCCTCTCCTGCCGGTTCCCATCCGTCTACTCTCCTCTGTGTCTGTCCATCGGTTCTCCCCCTCCGTTCTGACTGTCCATCGTTTTCCAACCACCTCCATGCCCTCTCTCTCCGTCTGCCTTGCTCCCCCTCCGCCAGCCACACTCCCAGTCTCTCATCTCTTTTTCGGGCATGTCTTCCTGCATCTCTTCGCTCTCCCTGCCTTCTTGCCCTTAGTCCATCCCGTCCCTCCTTCTCCCTCTTTTGATCTTTTTCTTTCCTGCTGCCTGTTGGCTGCCTCCTCCCTCCCTTAGTCTCCTCCTTTCCTCCTCCGGTCTTCCTTCGGGTTTTTCTCTTCTCTTCCATGTCTGTCTTTCTCTGGGTTTCCTCCTGTGTCCTTTTGTGTGTTCCCTCTGTGTCTGCTTCCGTCGGTCTGTCCCTCCGTCTACGACCCCCTTTTCTTTCTATGTCCGTCAGTTTTCCCTTGGTCTCCCCTCCGAGCCTCCTTCCGTCCACGCTCCAGTCTCCACTGGGGAAGCGTCCGTCCGGCTCCGGGGTCCCCGCTCCCCGCCCTCGGTCTGCGCGCTGGGGGCCCCCTGGGCCGGCCGTCGCTCTTTCTTCCTTCCTCTCGCCCTAGCCCTCCTCTTCCCTCGGGGCCTCACCCCACCCCACCCCTGCTGCGGGCCCGATAGGCTCCGGGAGCCCCGGGCGGCCCAGGCTGCGGGAAGGGGGCGCCCCGCGCGGGTCCCAGAAGTTACTTTGCAAAGAGGCGAGGCAGGGCATGGAACCGCGTGGGCTGCGGCCCTCCTCACAGCGCGAGGTAGGGGAACCTCTCGGGACCCCGCCGCCGCCGCCCCGCGCCCGCCGCCCGCTGCCCGCCGCCCGCCGAGTCCGGGCTTACCTGGGAGCCCGCTGCCCGCCGCCAGTCGCCCGCACGCACCCAGCGCGAACAGCACCCACAAGTGCCAGCGCACGGCCGCCGCGCCCATGCTCGCTGCGGGCCGAGCCCGGCCGGGCGTGCGGGCGAGCTGGGCGCGGGATTCCGCGGACCGGCCGCTCGGCTAGCGCTCCTCGCTGCTGGCTCCTGGGCCACCGCTCGGGCTCGCAGCCACCAAGCCGGCGCGGCTGACGAGCTGACAGCCGTGCGTACATTGGCTCACAGCCGCCGGGGGCGGGGCGTCGCGCGCGGATAGCCAATGGGCGCGAGCTGCCGGTCCGCGGGGGGAGGGGCGGGAGGGTGCCCCAGCCACCCCCGCTCGCGGCGGGCGGCAGGTGGGGGGTAGGGGCCCGGGGCGGCTCGCGCGGCCGCAGGGTACACGGTCTCGGCCAGGCCGAGGCTCACACGGAAGCCGCTCCCTTCCTCTGCCCCATCTCCCCCGTTATCCCCCTCGCTGAAGGCGACCGCAGCCGTGGGGGCGGCACCACCGCCCGCACCCACACACTCAGGGGTGCGGAGGGCCCGGTCAGCCGGTCCTCGGAGGTCGAGCAAGGCTCGGCGGAATCGATTTGTAGTGAAAGAAACGCCAATGCGCAGAGTAGAACTCATTCATCCTTTCGGTAAATATCTATTGAACACCCACTGTGTTCCATGCGCCAGCAAGGCAGGGGTGAAGTAGCCAGACAGGGAAAAAATCGCGAAGATGGGTTTAAAATTGGCATTCAAAGCAAATGAACTTTTTACTACTCCCCAGAGGACAGTGGCCCCTCAGTGTGCTTGTCATAGGACAGTCGCAGAATCCACGTCTGTAGGGGGGCCCGGAAAGTCCGGGTGGGACAGAACTGTTTTGACCACCGTCCTGGCCGCGTGGCTCCTCTGTGGGGCTGACCTCTGAGCCAGCAGTTTGATGCCCTGAGAATGTGAGCCCCGGGGACTCCCCAGTGACACGCCGGGGCCCGGTGGTGGGCTGGGGGCAGCAGGGGCATCGCGGTCATTCAAACCAAGGGCTGCTCTGGCCCGCCTGACGTCTACACCTTACGTCTGTTGGTTGGCCTTGGGTGCCTGAATCGAGACCCCCGCCTGTGTGGCGCGGCTTGAAATAAATGGCCCCTCTCAGCCCGAGTCTGGACGCTTTAAGGGAAGAAAGTTCAGCAAACCCCAAGGCCCATCTCCTTGACAACCACCAATAAGAGCTCCTTTTTTCTTCTCCTGCTCTCTCCGCCTGACTCAAAGGCAAGACTTTCCTCTTTTTGTCCACTCTGCCTGTGTTAGTCTGCGCCCAACTTCCCACCTCACGCCAGTTTCCTTCCCTGCCCCCAGCAGACACACACTTGCACACACCCAGACGTGCCGACCCATGCTCTCACACGTACACATTCACACAGGCCACTGTAGCCCCAAACATGCAGCCAGCCACACACACTGACACACACGCATTCCTGCACATAGCACTCACACACTCAGCTGGAGCTGCACTCCACAGGCCTGCAGTCCCCGCCCTCCTTCCAACCTGACTGCAGATCACAAATAGGGTGTGGTACTGCCTGGTGGCTGAAGCAAGGGGTCCCCCACATGGGGGGACCAGGAAGGGCCAGGAAGGAAGTGCTTCTTTTTGCCTCCAGTAAGCCTTCCCCTTCCCCCATCACTCTAGACATTTCCTTCTGCACCGTGGCTCCTGGCTGGTGGCTGGATTTTGGGGGGTCCCATTATCAGGCTTTATTTCGTCCTCTTCCTGGTGGTGTGGCTTTGGGTTTCTGGGGGAGAAAGCCCCTCCAGGACCACGTGTTGTCTTGCACATTAGGTAACAGGGCAAGAAGTGTGAGTTTCGGGGGATCCTTTCAGAGGGTAGTGTCCTCTAATGTCCCTGTCCTTTGGAGACCCCCGCCTCAGCCAGATGCCCCCCAAGCTTTATGGCAGCACGTAACAATTCTCCCAGGCTCAGTCGCCCTAAATCAAAGAGGGAATGGAGGCAGGGTGACGGCCTGTTAGGATGTGGAGCCCCGAAAACCAGGGGCAGCTCTCACTCCTCGCAGATTGTAGCCTCTAAGATGTGCAGCCAAAGAAAAGGCAGTTCTTGCCCCAAGGAGGTCGTGGTCTGTGCAGGGGAGCCGGGGGGGCCGGGGGGCCGGGGGGCAGGGAGGTAGAGAAGAGACGCCTGTGTGAGCCCCCCCGCAAGTGCACTAAAGGAGGTGGCAGAGAAAGAGGTGGCCACAACTTCCCTGGGGTGCGGTCAGGGAGGCCTCCCAGGACATGGGACCCTGGAGTCAGGCACGAAGTATGAGGAGTTGATTTTTCTGATGCACAAGCATGTGCCAAGGTCCTCGAGAGAAGGTGGGCATGAGGAGCAAATGTTCTCTGTGTACCTGGTAAACCGTGAAGTGCTGCACATGTGTGACGGTGACACGTGGAGAGCTGCGTCTATGCTGGTGAGTGGGCTGGCGGGGGCCATGCTTCTGGGCTCCAGCAAAAGGCGTCTTGCAGCCTTTGGAGACCCAGCTCAGTGAGTGGAGACCCAACGGATGAATTGGACATTCTGTTTGGGAGAGAACACCCCATGGCTCTCCATCACCTTCCAAACAGCAGGCCAACAGCGCACTCTGCATCCTCCGCAGTGGCCAGTCCATCCTCGCCACACCACGGGCAAGGGGGCCCCTCAGGCATCCTGCTTTCACACTGAAAGCCCCCTCGGCCAGGACTACCCTGCCTCCCCTTCTTCACAAGGCTGCCCACTCCTCTTCTGCCCGCATCCCAACTCCTACCCCTGTGGTTGTAGGGCCCTGCTTGGGTCCCCCTGAGAGTCCCCAGGCATCCCCATCAGACTCCAGCTCCCCCTGAGCTGCACATCCATCTCCTACCAGACTAGGGGTCTCTGAAGGCAGGGTTCACAGCTGACTCACATCTGCTGTCACAGCTGCTAGATGACGCTTGAGAAATGATCATTGAATGAACGAACCAACAAACAAAGACACTGGACAGATCTCACTTGACTGGGAAGTTACATCGCTTCAGGGAGGGGACAAAGATTCTCTGGCTATTTGACCAGGCCTCGGGGAGTGAGTCCACCCTCTCCGGCCACCACCATGCTCTGTGCCCCTGGGGAAGCTGGGCTGGCCAGCTGGACCCCTATCCTGCAGGGCCCTTTGGCTCCCCCTGCTGACACCTGGTGGCGGTGGCTTCCCGCCAGGAGTACACGCCTGCCTCCTGCTCCTCAGCCGAAGAACACCTGATTTTCAGATGTTCCTCAGGGGCGCTTGTGGCAATTAACGCCAATTGTGAAAGTTCTTTGAGGAAATACAGTTCTGTGCACATGTAAAATGTTACTAACGGGATGTTAGGCTTCGGTCTGAATGACCTGATAGACTTTTGTCATCCTTGCTTATTAAAAAGAGACTTTCGTAACAACACCTCTGTGCGCACAGTTCTCCGACTGTCGAGGGCAGTCTTTCTGCCTCTGGGGGCCCTGGGCCCACAGGCCGGGTTTCGTGGCTCAGCCCCCAACCTGTCACACGAGGGTCTCAGTGCCCGGGTCCCCGGGCATGTCCAGCTCACGCTGCAGGCTCCCCTGGCGGGGCCCACCTGAGTGTGGCACTCTGCCCTCCGCACCCCTCCTCTCCCGGGGACACAACAGCCTCCTGTGCCGAGAGTCCCTGTCCTGTGCATTGCGTCATTTAACCCTGAGAAGTAGAAGCCACCGCCAGCCCCACTTTACCTCTGAGAAGATGGAGACTCAGGCCACTTGTCTGGGACAAGGACAGAGCTGGCAAATGGCAGGGGTGGGATTCGAACTCAGGTGTGTGCGACTCTGGAAGACGTTCTCTTTACCATCACCCGTTACTAAAACCCGCTCTGAGGCTCAAAGGGCTTCCGAGAGCGCCCGGTGCAAGGCGTCCGGTTGACTTTCCTGTCTTCAGTCGTGGGCAGAGTGGTGTTTACACGGTGGCCAGACAAGCGTCAGCAGTTCATTTCTCACAGGGCCGATTTCAGGGGCTGCCCAGTTTTATGTCCGCTCACCCTGCTAACGGGCCCCTGGAGTGACGGCACCTTACCTTGGAGTGCCGGGTGGGAGTGTGTAGAAGCAGACAGAGCGGGTGGTGTGGCGCCCCAACACGCTCCCGCGCCCCCAGGCCGGGGAGGACGCAGGAGACAGGATGGCACTGGGAAGGGCTCCCCAGTCTCCTCGGCAGAGCTTTGCAATTCACCGGGCTCATGCCCACCTGGCCCCTAGGGTTGTGCCTGTAAAACGGTCTCATGCTGCAAGTTCATAGGCACTTGGACAGGAATTTCCTCCTTTTGCGGTGCCCTTCCCCGTCCAGTGGGCCTGGCCGACCCAGACACAAGGCTCAGCTCCGGTGCTCTCTCCTCAGGGCCCTCCCCCTGCTCGGGCGCCTCGAGGAGTGAATCCAGCTGCCCACATTCTCCCAGTCACCTCTGTCCTGTGTGCCCAGGGGGAAGCTTGGCCAACTGGCAGGACTGCCATCTTCAGGTACCCAGAGTGGGTGACCTGGGCCCTCTGGCCTTACAGGAGTCCGGCCCATGGGCACTGGTTCAGCTTTAAAACCTGGAACTTACTGGTTAGTAGATCTGCCTTCTGCTTAGGCTGGGCTGTTGGAGGGTACAGATCAGACTCCCGGTCACCTAGCATCCCTTCCACACCTCCGTCCAAGGCCTTCTGGTGAATGGGTGGCTCTGCTAGGCCATTCACTCTATTGCACAATGCTGGCCATGTAATTGGTCCAGGCAAGGACATGTGACTATGCCAAGCCAATCAGATGCTTTCACTGGGATTCTTTAAGTGAGGCTGGTGGGTATGGCTTCTTCTCCATGTGGGCATGGAGTAGTAAGCGTGGGTGTCCAGAGCTGCTGTCACTGCGGTGCTACCATGGTGTGGACAGCTGGCCTGGGACAATGGAGCCACCATTTTGACAGAAGCAGAGGGGAGAGATGGGGAGGGAAGGGGGAGAGAGAGAGAGAACATAAGGAGAGGGGAGGGGCAGGGAAGGACCCGACCGTGTTTGAGGCTGTTTAAGTCATCCTTTCAGTCCCCAAGACCAACAGTTATGCTGGTTTCTGTCACTTGAGCCACTGGGCAGGGTTGGGGGACATCTCCATGATATGACACAGCCAACAAATAACACATGCCAGGC